TAATGAAGCAAACAAAAATGAAGTGCGAATATTCATGATAACATCATTTACGGCGTCTTAATTAGTAACGCAGCGGTTGTGCGTTAGCTTGCACTCCTCAAATCGCACACTTGACGCGAACGACAGGCAAAACGATATTTGGCATAATTGCAATATGTATAAGGGGGCAATATGTATAATGTATTTTCGAAGTTACACGCAAATTTGAAAATGCGTTTCAGAGCGCTTGGAAGTACAAGGCCAGAGCGGCAGCGACTTTTTCTCACAATGGTGTTTTAAAGTCGCTGACCAACGTTACTCAAAAGCGGATACACCGATTAGTCTCAAATTTTAACACGAGCTTCTTAAATATATTTTTTTTTAGAAATTAATCGAATATTTGTTTTTCTCCGATAAATATTTGTATTTTTATAAACAATGTAAAACTGAAATTTCGTGGAAAAATCGATTTTTTTTGAAAAGCCATTCCGTCAAAAAATTTTACTTTGCTTATTTCTTCGTTTAATTACTAAATTTAACATTCTTTTAACGAAATCTGTTTGGGTTTTTAATTTCAGATGATCCAGTTCAGGTAGTTTCAGAGAGAGTCACCGCAAAACGTCTTTTTTGAGAGGAGCTCCCGAAGATTGGTTGTAGCTCTTTTCCAAATAAATATATTTACTAGTACTAAGTCTTAAAGTATGGTTAAAAAATACCATAATATGTGTATACATTTTTAGATCAATAAATTTAAAAGTTTTCTCAGAAAACTTTATGAAAAATTAATTTTTTTCGGCTTTCTAACTGTATAAAACCTCATAATGTAGAACTCTCTACAACTTCATAGTTGCGCAAATATTTTAAATTTGAACGCTGCGACTCAACTTATTTACGCATTATGTAATTTTTTTCTCGCTTTAGTAACTTAAAGCGCCTTTACTATAATAATAGTCGTTTTCCTAATAAAACCATATTCTTTTCTTGATTTCTTATATATTTCAATTTATTAATTCTTCGGCAAAAAAATACTATTAACATTATGCCTTGAATTTTTAGTATATTTCAGTTGGTGTACAACAACACCAATTATATATAACCTTTTAAACTCGTACCCACAAGTATAGAGCCCAAACGATATTTTTCAAAAGCGTACCTGTTCAATTATGGTACAGGTCCAGACGATTCAGAGTTTTTCTGAAAGCTTGAAAAGAACGCTGAAACTCTACATATTTAGGTAGTGACAGCTTTGGCGAAAGAAAAAACTTTGTAGAGTTCCATATAACATATACTTATTGGTTGTACATATATACCAGCTGTACCGGTATGAAAAGAGCAGTTTTTTTGTGAAACTGAAATACTAATTTTGAATGGCAATATAAAAAAAAATTATTCATGTATTGACTATTGCTTTTTACACATTTGGAAAACCCTTCTGGTTATGTTCGTCTTTTAAAGTAAACCAATCAGACACCTGATTTTCGACTTCAGCGTAGAAATCGAAATGCCGCTCAGCCAATGCTTATCCCACCGATGTAAACAAATGGTAAGCGGAAGGTGCCAAGTCTGGTGAATACGTTAATACAAGTCTGTCCCATTCTGATCGTTTTTCGATCAATGCTTGGTTCAAATTGATCATTTGTTGTCTGTAGCGATTAGTATTAACAGTAGCACCCGGTTTTAGAAGCTCATGATATACCACACCTTCTTACCGAATCGATCGGTTTTCACAGTCGATGTTGCTATCGTTGTCCCGGATTAACCCATGCTTTTCTCCATATAGGATTCTCAAATAAATTAATTTTTCATTGTCAGTGACAATTCGTTGCAAAACTGATTTTCTTTCATGTCTTTCAAGCAAAATTTTAAAAGTATTTTTTCGGTTTTCCATTTGTCTTTCATTTATTCCAGTGTCATTATGCTAGTGGATTATTATTCTTGTTGTTCTTTTGTGGTTGTTGTGAGCATTTTTAATTTAATTTATTATACCCTTAACAAAATATATTAAGTTTGCCATGAAGTTTGTAACAGCCAAAAGGAAATGTCATAGACAAAGTATGTATATAGTTGATCCGCGTGACGAGCTGAGTCGGGTTAGCCATATTCGTCTATCTGTCTGTATATATGCAAACTAGTCTCTCAGTTTTTGAGATATCGACCAGAAATTTTGCACATATCCTTTTCTCACAAAAAACATGCTCATTGGTCGGAACCGTCGATATTAGACCAATATATCACATAGCTCCCATATAAAATAAACGGTCGATATCAAGTGCTTGTTTATAAAGCATTTTCATTTGACGAGATATTTTCAAGAAATTTGGCATTGGCATTATTGCTTTAGGCAATGATACAATCTACGAATAAATTGCTTAGAGCCGATCACTATAGCATATAGCTTACATACAATCTGAACGATCGGCATCAAGTGCTTATATAGAAAGCTTTTTCATTTGACGAAATATCTTTACAAAAGTTGTCACGGTTTATTGCATAAAGTAATGTCCGAATAAATTGTTAAGATCGGACCACTATAAGATATAGCTGTCATACTAACTACCGATCAAAATCAAGCTAAAGATACTTTTATACTCTTTCAAGCTATAAAAATGCACCTGTGAAGCGTATTATAGCTTCGGTGCAGCCGAAATTAGCGTTTTTTCCTGTTTTTTTTTCTGCACTTTGTTTTGCTTGTGTATTGCCTGTCATCACATGACCTTATCTGTGATAAGCTTTTAACTGTAACTTATTGGTTTTAGAGTTTACTTTCGTAATGCATTTCATTTCGTGTTCTTGTGATAAGGTAAGATATTGAGGTTGGGGCTAATCGCTTAAAAGCAAACAATAAAGCCGTAGGAAATAATTTTCGGACCATTATTTAATTAGAAATATTTGCAATGCACTTTTCAAATAAAAAATAATTGATTTTATAACACAATTGTTTGAACACCCAGCGAACCAGCTACATACATGCTTATGGTACATATGCTGGCCTTAAAATATGGCATACACGTCGTATGAGTGACATTTGCTGACACATTACCAACACCAGCTACACATACATCTGCTGAAAATTTTAAGCAGGCAAATAAAAAAAAAAATGTATGAGTGCAGTCGTATCAGTGTAAATTATGGCACATGGTGTGGAAGCAAAAAAATTTATGTGAAAAATTCAATAACGCAATAAATTTTAACTTTAAAGCGTTTAAAGCATAAATGCAAAATTCAAACAATTTTAAATCAAAAGCGCTAGACATGCTTATGAACATATATTGAAGCTTATGTGTATGGGTATAGTTATATTTATTTTTTTAATTTTAATTTTTTATTTTTGTGAAATATGTTGCGCTCGGCTGCAGCAAGTGTGCTGATTTGACACAATGCTAAAACACACATACACCCACACGGGCATATGTATTAGTTGGAAAAAAGAACTGAATGAAGCCGTATGCTAACCAGGCGTAGAAAGCACACGCATACAGGCATATACATACACATTTGAACGCATTTATGAACCCTACAAGAAACGGCTGATGGGTTCACCAATACACTCACATTTACTTATGTCAGTACCGACTGTCAAATGAACACTAAAATGACTGTCAGTATTTACGATTTTTCCAAAAGCAAATTCTGTATATGTCGAAAAAAGACAGCATGAATTTCCACAGAAGTTTCGAGAAGTTGTGAAATACCTATTTAGCTGTTTCAATTTTTCACTTGTGATAGATCATGACTGACAAATTGCAGCTATGATGTATTTATGGTCAGCAATGACTCAGAAAAAGACATGAGAGTGAGCAGCATAGATATATAGTGAATCAATTCCGAATACCCATGCGTTAAAGAAAGATGCCAACTCACACACATACGTTTGTTTATATCAGTTTTTGCGAAAGGCTCTTAAGAATATGATAGAAACTTTGTTCTGCGCGCTGACAAAATTTTTTCAGCTGTGACTGGTTAGATGACTGTCACTATTCTTGTAGGGAATGCACTTATATACCCATGTGTGTGGGTGTGTGTATGTTATAGCATGCCTGTATAAATATTTGCGTTTACCAAGTTTGGCCTGTATTTTTATGCATTCACACATGCCCACACACTCCTCCACCTACATACGCTTGTACGTGGCAAATATTATTACCCACTTGTGTAGTTATTTTCACAGCGAATTGCTTTGTCGCATAGAAAACTGAATGAAATTCAATGCGTCGAATGTTCTGCTGCCGCAACATGTGCTTTGATTTTGTCTTTTTTTTTTACCGTTAAATAATCATTTGTTATTTTAAATATGCACACCACCTGCTGGGCGTATTACTAGTGCACACATTGCGAAAGATTAGAAAACAAATATGATTCTTGAGTCTCAATTTCCTCAAACTATTGGTAAAAAAACCGACTGAGTTTTTGTGTGTTCACCATAGTTTAAATAATTGAATGCACACACACACACACATAAATGCCCGCCCATATTTGTCCAGGCTTAATTGCGTAGTTGCAAGCGGTTGCCTGTGTGTTTGCAAAGATTTACAGCGTTGCAACACACAAACACACACACATACACATAAACAAACACAAGCATAAATTTATTGTTTACAGACGCTGAGTAAATATTTTTGCGGTTGAAACGGTAATTACGCATACAAATCCGCAAATATATGCAGCTTTAAAAATTGTACTGCTTGTTGTACAAGTGTCTGTGCGTAAATATGTTTGTGTGTGTGTGTATGCATGACAAGAGATGCAAATAAAGAAAATGTTTGCGCAAAGTTTGCTAGTTTGCTTGTTTGCCTTGTGCAAATACCGTTATTGCAAGTTGCCATATGCCTGTCGGTACGCAGCCGTCTACTGTGAGCTTGAGAGCTTTCATTCAGAAATTCAAACATTGCACTGCTAGAAAAGTCGCTCACTCAGCCGTACTACATTGTTTTATTTATGAAAACAAATTAGTTTGTAGTCAAAAAAAAAAAAGAACATTTATTGTTTATACATATTTCATAACATTATTGCTTTACTCTGTCTCACTTTCGGAAGAACCAATAGCGTTTACTTGGTGTAGGACCAGTTGCTCTTTCGGGTATAATGTCTGCGTTCTCATCCTGCTCTTCATCGTCTTTGCCGCTCACTCTTGCCTCCGGCTCCGGCTGAAGCTCAGTGTCGTCCTCGGCCGCATCTGCCGCGATCGGATCCACATCTTCGGCCAAATCTTCGTCTGCTTCTGCTGCATCTACTTCCTCCAGCTGTGTGGCCGTCGCCGAGGTCACTGCTTCTGCTGGCTTTTCGGCTGTCTGGTCGGTTGGTAGTGTAAACGGCACTTGCGGCCTATAGCCTGTAGCTGGATATGGCGCCAGTTGACGAGCTGTGTGTGGATACCGCAAAACTTTTGCATTTGCGCGTGTGCGTTGTGCCACTGGACTGGCAAAACTATGCGCCAACAGCAGCAACAACAGTAATGTCAAACTGATGTGTTTCATTTTCAAAAAATCGTGTAGAAGTAATTACCACCACTGCGGCTGTGGCAGGCTCTCAAGCTTTCAAGCTAAGTTCACAACTAATTGTGAATTATTTGAAAAAATCGCTAGAAGTATTTTCCGCTTTCTGATGTAGACTAATCGCATTCAAAATTTCATGATTACAAATTAGTAGAAGCCGGTACACATAAAGCCAAATTTCGGCTGCCAAAATTCCTCACGATCCTACTATAGACGCGCGCATCACTGCATACTAATTTCAATGCTCGAAGCTTCTTTTCCTGTCAAATGTTGTTGTGCGTGTGGTTGTTGTCCGCATAATCATGGTCACACATAGTGTTGCTGTACCCAGCGTAGTTCCAAGTCAAGTACGTAATTCTTCTTCTTCCCATTATTAATGCTGTTCTTTCATTGTTGGGCGAAAATAGTGGCTCGTTGATTATTGTTCGCAGCCACGTCGCTAAATTGCCCATTCGCTTGTCTACATATGTCAAACGAATGTCAGATGAATGTCATACATTATACAAAATTGGCGCTGCGATTGTCCATCAGTGGCAGCGTTGAAGTCGAAATTATAGACAACCAAATAGCAAAGTTTTTGACGGCTTGACTAGTTGGGTGCATTTGATATCAGAAATTTTAGAGCGCGCGGCAATAAAAATATCATAAAACCCCTACTAGATAATATTGACTGAATTATGACAAGAGCATTGGCGTACGCATGTATACAGCAAGGTTTATGGATTTCTGATAGCGTGAGTCGCTGAATACAGCACAGGCTATTTAAGTAGCATTTTAGTTAAGCCAATTTGCATGCGAGCATTTAAGCGCTTACAATGGCGCTATAAAATTTTGAAGGTGTCAAATGTACATTTGAGTTTTATGTTCGTGTGAGTTTTTACTTAAGTGCAGACGACGCCAACTCGTATAAGTTTCACAGTCTTTTTCAACATTCATTGCCAGATTTTAGGTTATAGTCATATATTATTACTTATCAAAGCGTAAATACTATGGGCTATATGAAAGCTGAAACTAGAATATGGGGTCACAGGCTTCATTCGAAGGATTCTGTGCAGAGTCTTTCTCATCTGTTGTTTTTATACTTGTGTCTCAGGTTATTCTCAGAATTAGTTGAAGTAGTAAACACAGCATTGTTAAATTGATATAAGATTCTGACAAGCTGATAAGTTCCTTTCTTTTAAATGAAAGAAATTTGTACGCTAAAACCCGACTTTCAAAAAAATATTTAAATATTTCACAGTCGTTAAATCTCTTTCCAGCGAGCATTATCTTGAGATCTGTATACAGCAAAGAGTTGCTGGTAACCAAATAAAGAGAGTAGAGTAGATGTGGAGTATTTCGAAATCCAGACATTTCATTGGTTTCTTACTCAATACAAGTGAGAAGGGTTAGAGTTGCGTGCATCCTGAAGGCCGGTAAAAGAAGGCATGTGTCGGCCAAGAATTTTAGACCCATCAGGCTTTCATCTTTGTTAAAAAAATTCCTACACAAATCGACTTTCCAGGGCACATCATGCCTATTGCAAAGGTAGGTCAGTGGACCATGCCTTGTGCACTCTTGTCTCCTGGCTCGAGAGGGGTATATGGAACAAAGAGTTTGCAGTGGGAACCTTCATCGATATCGGAACTTTCAATAATGTATTGCCGGAAGCGTTCATTAGAGCTCTAAATAAATTTATGGTAATCGAACCTAAAGAACCGTATCTACAAATCTCTCTGTGATAGAACTATCGTGGAGCAAGGTCGGCTACTTCTCTGGATCATGGTTGTTAATGATATTCTGGAAAAGCGTGAGGAAGTAGAATTACCGGGTGATTGCCAACGCAGACGAGAGCTACGTCGTGAGGGAAAATTTCTGAATACCGTGTATGAGCTACCTCAGGGATACCTTAGTAGACCAGAAGTAGGTACCATTAAGGTAGCAGTAGATCGGATTGTATGGTCGCGATATTAGCCTTGAACTCACTGACCGTGCGCTCAAGACTGGTGAAGGGGTGCTTAGACTCTTTATCTCCAGCTTCAAGGTACTTCAGTTTCAATAACTACGGAATGGGAACGGGTAGAAGCTCGAGGTTTGCTACTGGACTGCTGGGCCCCAGACCAGCTCGACAAGCGTTGGAAAACCACCACCAGCTGTGCAGTCGCAAGGTCCTTCTGGCCTAGGGTAAATCAGAAGAGGTCTGAGCTTCCTAGATCTTGCTCTGAACAAAGTTCACCTTTCAATGGTTGTAGGAGTTCTAACTGGACACTGCTTCATCGGGACTCATGCAGTAAGATTAAACATCTTACCGGATGCCAGCTGCACCAGTTATTTGGATGAAGATGAGATAGAAACGTTTCAACGCTTCCTCCTCGAATGGCCCGCTTTTGCCAGAACAGTCTAAGTGTTACCCCTTCGTCATACCGAGGTATCAGCCACATAACCTAACCTACTCAATGCAAGTCTTGTTGAAACAATATTTCCTTCTTCTGCTAATGGGGTTCTTATGGTTGTATTTTCGTTTGTCAAACGTTTCAATAATGCTATATAATATTCGCTGTAGAGGGTTTTTCCCTATTACAGATAGTCGGTGAAAATGATTATATTTCATGAGCATCCCAAAGTTGGTTAAGAAAATAATTTGAATATATTTTTTCTAATGAACTTGTATTTTTTATTAGACCTCCATACATGCATAAATTAATACTAGTAGTTTCTATATTGTTTTTTTTTTATTTCTTTCTCCACCTTTGTCAATTCGTGTGCGTGTACAGTCGACGATACCGTTGTACGTGCATCGAATATTTTAAGTACAACTAATAGTTTCATGTGAGCAAACAACACAAACACACATCCGTGTATATGCAAAACATATGTATGTACATATACATACACATAAACATGTGTTGATTTCTGAAAAGTTTACGAAGTAGTGCCAAGGTTAGCTGATTTTCAAGTTCAAGGGAAAGTACAAGTTCGTGCACAAACTCACAAACTAACGCACTGCGCTTCTTCATGCAGTTGCAGAGTGAGTTTCCACAAGAGAATTCAACGGTACCTTTCACGTTCGATTTCACTTTATAAACGAATTAAATATTGATCGCATTTATGGAAAGTTTACTCATTGACAGCAGGCAAAGTCAAACAAATCAAAATATTGCCTTGGAAAGCTGTAGGCAAAATCACTAGCGAGCACAATTATGTGCCGACACCACCAAGCAAACAAAATTAAAGAAAACCGAGAGCTTATTGTCGCTAAAAATATATAAATGTATTTATTATTATCGCTTTTATAATCGATTGCAACATAACAACAACCAAAACAAATTTGAAATGATTAGGTGACCGCCGTAAACCTCGAAATTTCGTCACTTCTCTAACTTCTTCCATGACCAATCTATTTATTTTAAAAGGTAAATAACACCGGGCTCAGCGCGCACCAGCTCTACAACACCCGGTGCAGCAGGCACAGCTCGCAGGATCAGCGGCTGAGAGCGTACAACTCCTCTGGCGCGTTGTTTGGCCGAAACCGGTTTTTGACGTGGTTGAATTAAGTTCTCGGATACGACGTCGATCTCAGCAGCATTGGCCGGTGCGGCCAGAGTAGTAGTCTCCTCTGGCGGACCATAGGTTGGGTCGGGTGTGGGTTCCTCCGCTGGTGGGCCGTACACTTCATCGGGGAGTGGTGCCTCTGTCTCTGTCGGCAAATCGAAGGGAATCGATGGTGTAACTCCAGCTGCGGGATATGGCGCAGGCTGGTCAGCCGTTACAGCAGGTGGCGCATCGTCTGCGCTATCTGCGATCTCCGCCTCTTGACGTGCAAAAAAACGACCCGGCGCGCGTCTGAGTGCTGCACGAAAACGCGGTGGTTCGGCCTGCACCACTGCTAAGGTAGCGGCGAAAAGGAGCGCCAGAAGTGCGGTATACTTGTACATTTTTCTGTATTAAAGATTCCTTTGATTTGGTGTTGTCGCTGCTGCTACACTGCCGCTGGTTGATTGCGAGAATGCTATCTTAATCCCATCACTATTGCGCTTATATACTTTGGCACAAAATCTGAGTTTTATGAACTTCATTCAACAAAACGACTCTAAAGTTACTGTTACGCTCAATTACACGCGCAACTACTAGGCCTCCTGCCAAATTTGGTGCACCCCGGCAAGTCTTATTGACGTCTGACGGTGTTGTCGTTGTTGCTGTTGTTGTAGCGAGTACCTAGTAGTCGTTCTAAGTGCGCGCTTACAATAGTTGTGCGACGACGCGTCAATAGCTTGACTCTTCACTGGCTTTACGTGACAATAACGATGAGGTTGTTCCGCTCGTTTGACTGCTATGTCAAGGGCCAATGGCTAATCGGGTGCCAAACGTGGCTGCCGCAGACACATAGCATTTAAGCATATAAAATTATCAAGCAGTGTAAAAAGTAATGCAATGTATTAACTTTTGCAATTATTATTTATAATATATTGAATTATTTCTGTGCGTAATTTTCCACGATTAAAGCAAGAACCACTCAGGTCTCAATAATATCTAGCTATAATTTTCCCATTTTGATGTTGATCTGCTTTGTGCTAAAGTACAATATTGAAGCTGGAAATAGCATTGCCAGATTTTCATATGTGCACTCATAAATTACTACATTGTCAAGTACAAGTATACACATGTTACTTTCCGCTTAACGAATTATAAAAATGTTTAATAATAAGTATAAAAAGTTGTTTCCAAATTTGGAACACATTGACCCTATAAACTCCTATTTTGGCTCGGCGACCCTTAAACGTTTTGGGGGACTCAAATACTGAAGCTCAGTAAACAGCAAAGTTAGTTCGGTGAGCTAGCTTTACGATTGACAGCCCAAAGGGAATATCCCAGCTCATTTATATGCGAGCGTTGTTTAATAAAAACTTAAACCAAATAAACAAGTGACTAATTATATTTAATAATAATCTCATAGAGAACTGAACGTGCAAAATATCAACAACAGCGGTTAAGTGTCCAACGAAAAATAGTGCGAAAGTTAAGCTAATCAAATTATTAAAAAAACACACACACAGAAATTTTGAAGTGCGTGGGCGAAAAAGTGTTGTATAGTATAAAACGTTGTCATCCGTCTCGAAATAAATCAGTCATCAACAGGCATTAGCAACAGCAGGAGCAACAGCGCTCAACTTTTACATATCAAACGACAAAGTCTTGTATTTACTTTTCACAACTTAAATTTCGCGGAAAATGTTCCATAAGACCGCCATTTTATTACTAGTGTTGGCAGTGGCCTTTGCCACCGCGGAGCCACCACGTTTTCGCCAACGCAATAGTCGCCTCCAGCAACGCAGACCATTCTCCGCACGTCAGGAGTCAGTTCCCTCACCACCAGAACAGCCTGAGTTCGCACTCTACCCTTCAGCTGATGAATTGAAGCCGCAAAATCCCTTCCAAGGCGAGGAAGAAGTCATCGACCCTGAGCTGGTGTACGGCGCACCTGATCTCACTTACGGACCACCACTGCCCGCCATAGATCCCTTGCCCGTCGTCGACGCACCACAAGAATTTGCGCCCAATGCCGAAGCCGAAGAGTTCGCACGTTTTACCCAAGCGCGCCCCTCACGCTTACAACAGCGTCCCAAACAGCAAACAGCTCAACTACATCTTGTGCAGCAGTCACAACGTCTGCAGCAGAGAAAGCCACAACAAAAAGCCATCATTAAGCAGATCGTTAACGCACCCCAGCAGAAAGCGACCATTAGGCAAGTGGTGAGCACACAGCGTTTGGTGGCAAAACCCGCGCCTGCTGCTGCAGTAGTTGTGGCAGCACCCGTTGCAGCAGCGGCGTCGGCTAATGCACCTACCAAGTTGGTGATCAGCTCGGAGCGCTTAGTGCAAGTGAAACCAGCATCACTTGTCAGCGGCTCCATTGGCACGCCACTCGGCGAGTCTTATGTAGTGATCAACTCGCCATTTGATTTAACCGCACATTACAAGTCGTGGTAAGAATGTGAGCTTGTTATTTTGTTTTATTGCAGAAATGTTTTAGGAAAGTTATACAATCAAAGTATTATATATACAAAACTTAAATAAATGAAAAAATCGAAAACTAACTGTAATTCTAATTAAATTCAAAGTCCAGATTTGTATTGCTTATTTCCGCAAACGCTGAGCTCCAAGATTTATAAAAAGATTTCATAAACACGCACCCAGTAGTAAAGCTGAGATTAATAAGAATCGCCATCTACTGATAACGTACCGTTAAGTTCGAACATCTATCAAGTTGGAATCTCCCTTATTTACTCCCTACAGCTCTCCTCGCTCTTTCACTCAAGCTAAGTTTCAATTAAAATAATTTCAATTAAAATCTCAACTTTTCTGCTGAGCTCATCTGTTGACAGTCATCCGACATATACACATACATAAACACATATATACTTATTGGATTTTATAAATAGTCTACACTTCAACTCGCAACGTTAACAGCCTTTGACTTCCTTACTGACCGAACATAAAGTTGTTGTGAATCGTTTGGGGAATATTACGTGTTTGTTTGTAAGTTCGCATCAACAGATTAATAAATACTCTGAAGCAAAGCGAATTGCCGAACAACGTTTACCGTAATTTAAAAACTCATTAAACTTTACCAACATAGCTTCTTCAGTAAATACGCTCTCTCACCCACATCATTAAAAGATTTAATACTTGTGCTTGGCCCACCTTCACTTCACTTCCTAGTATTTACACTGCCTTCGTTCTTCGTAATCCTTGGCGTTGCAGTCGTATTGGTTCAATGCATTGTTATTCTCGTCCTTGACGCCAACATCATCAACTATTCAGTTGCATTTTTCACTTCACACGAAGTGCTTTTATTGCGTCAAAATGACAGCAATCAGTATGGCAGATGAATATCCTTTGCTCCTCGATTACACGACCACACCTCCGCCTGCCGATGTATTTATCTGCCAGCCAGTTTGTCTTCCGTCGACATTGTCGTGCTGAGCCAGCTGTGGCAACAATGATTTCCACGAGATCCCTGACTTACTTCATCATTCTGTTTTCGAAAATTTTCTGAATTATTTCTCTGGCATTTCCTGGCTTGCGCCTTTGTTGGTCTTGCTATTTTGTTACCCCCACACACACACACATACACAATCGTAAATACATTTACATATATATATTAGTAGACACAAAGGTACTCGTACATTTATGCGCGCATTCTCATTGTGCTTAATGTGACTGATTGTGAGCCATATTTTGCCACTTGTCACCTACGGACGCCGGCGATAAGGCCCGAGCGCCCGCAGCAGCATAAGCATAAAGAGGATAGTGCAGCAGCATGCAACAAACAGAAGAAAACTAGGGCTGCGGAACGTAACTGGATTTGCAATTTTATTCAATTTTATTTGTCTCGGTCACAGCACCGACAGATTCCACAGGTTGGTGGCGAACAAGCGATAAAGATGAGCAAGGAGTGCAGCGTGAAAGCGCGCGTATAATAGAAGTGTTGGAATGTGCGAATGAGAAATTCCTTGCTGCCTTTGAAAGTGCGATAAAAGGCGCTGCAAGACAGAATGAAGTAGCGCACAGATAGTTTGGACAATTTGCATGTCTCTTTGGTTGTTTGGCTTTGGAAGCGACAACAATAGCAAAAAGTCCGCAGGCGCGTTACAGACCGGATGTGAATGAAGTGTGGTATGTTGGTATGTGTGTGTGTGTGTGTGGCTATGTGGCTGTTAGAGGCCATAAAAATGAGGCTGATTATCGCCACAGCTGATGGTGCAACAACAGCAACAAAAGCATGTCAAAAGAGCTGAAAAAAAACACCGAATAAACTGAATTTGAACTAAAAATTCAACAGAATGCTGTGCCCTGGCATGTCTGCAGTTTTGTTTGCGGGATATTGTGACAAGCGAATGGAAAATGAGGAGTCTGAAATTATAATTTTTTGTTGCATATAATAATGATATGACTTGTGTCGAAATGAAATATTCAACATATTTGCCTGAGGCAAAGCTTTGACAAATAAGCGAGAAGAAGAAAACAAAACGCCTTGGCTTAATTTGTCCTACTAATCTTTAGTAATATGTATGTAAACAGATATTGATTTGAAGTAAGCAGTAGTGTTACAGAACTGAGCGACAGAGAAACCAAGTGGTGTTATCCAGTTGAGACTTCATTTTCGAACGCTGAGAGCAAGTGTAACTGCAATGAGTCTTTACATCCAAACCGCTACGCCGGCAAGATAAATATGTATAATTTCAGCGGATTGCGCTTTACTGACATGTAGGTGCTGACTCAGTGCAACCCCTGCTTTCAAGTAATATTACAAGGCTTTCTTATTTCGTTCATTGCGAATTTATATTTGTAGAATTTTTTGGAGCAATATGCAGATAAAGAGTTTAGCGCTCTTCGTTCGTCAAATAACTTTGTGCTAAAAAATAAGTTTAAGAAATTTACTCAATAAAATATTGCTAGCATGTTCTTTTCCTTAAGAAAAGAGTAATCACTTTACGAATTTACTTTTCTTGTGCCAATATTATATTAGTGGGCGACCACACAATTCACTCAATACAATTTTCTTGGCTCATATCTTCCTTTCAATCTTCAGTTATAGTTTTCACTTTTTATTTTATTCTTAAAAGTCTTTGCTTTCTTTCAATTGTACTGCGTGTTTTTTTTTTTGTTTTTTTTTGGTACAACTAATTTCCAATTTCAACTGCATTTTCACCCTTTTTTATTATCTTTTATGGCCGGCTGCGTTTTATGTATTTTTCCGTGGCATGAGTGCCCAGCTAAGCTGCGGCCAGTTGCATGTGTGGGTGTCAACTCTGTAGCATTCAATATGCCATTCCACAAATTTTTACGATTATTGACATTATTTACTCAAATGTGCGCTAAGGCGACCAACAACAATGCGAATCAGCTGTTTATAACACCATATGTTGCACACACACACACACACAACAATTATATATATGCATTGGGGTGGAGCGAAAATAATTTTTGTTTTTGCTTAGCCTGAGGGTAAAAACTAGATTTTAACGTAAATTTTCGAGTTAAAATTTTTATTTCGTAAAAAAATTTTGATAAGTGTTCTATAAGCTGTGGAGAGTGCTCTTTCTGGCCAATTAAAAGTTATCAAATTAAAAAATTTTTTTTTGGTCATTATTGGAGTTTTAAAAAAAAGTCTTAAACGACAACATGCTTACCTGAAGCGTTAAAATAAATTTTGAGTCAAAATCTGTCACATTCGGTAATTTTTATATAAATGTTAAACTCTTTACCAAAAATCATTTTTTTTTGTTCAAAACAAAGTCTAACTCGAAATTTACTTTACAACTGAGTGCGCCGCCACCAGATGTTGAAAAATTTTTTATTTTTTTCCAAATTTCCAGATTTTAGCCTCAGGCTAAGCAAAAAAAAAAACAATTTTTTTTTCGCTCCACCCTACTATGCATGCACAACATAAGCGCTTAAGTTCGCACTGCGCGACTAAGTCAACATGCTGGGACAGCGCTTGCTCAAGTAGCATCGTTATCATCAGCAACGTCGTCAACGCGCTTGCGTGTGGCAACAGCAGTGACAGCAGTAAGAAATTTATTTGATGACATAAGAAATTGCGATGAGTGTTATTGCGGGAAATTAACTTTGCTGTTGGCTGTCATTATTGTCCTGCTTTGCTGCGGTCAAGCGCGCCAGTCGTTGTCCTGCTTGTTGCAAAGTTCCGTTTCATTGCTTTAGGTTGCTGCTGGCGACTGGTGGAAGGATTAGTTAGTGTGTACACTTGTGAGCAATTTCCTTTGGTCAGCGTCATTATTGATACTTTACTTTGCTTCACGCACACATACGCACACAAACCCACATAATCATGTTCATCAGTTCATCCTCAACGCACCGCTGCCTCTGCCACCTACTCGGCTGCCAGTTGCTGAATTTTATCTTCAGCCATTAACCAACTATATTTTAGTGTATGCATGCGTCGGTGTGTGTGTGTGTAAGGGCTTCTAGTTGGCAGCACAATAATATTATGTTTACCAATGCTTTTAATTTTAAATCTTAACCTCTTAACTGTTAAGTGGTTTATTTATGATACTTTTCAACAGCTGTTGCAGCTGCAAATAAGTGTGTGTGTGAGTGTACTTTATAGTGTTAGTAAACATTACTAAAAGCTGAAAGATAATGATGTTTGGTAAAACTATTAAAATGGACAATAACGGTAAATTATCAGCTTATGAGTTTGAGAGATAACTTTACTTTTCGTGTGAGTAAATGTGGTTCAGCTGGGTGTTTACCCAAGCTCAAAAAGTTTAAAGTTACGTGCTTTAGTATCTGAGGCTTAAACTGGATAAATTTGAAATAAAACAGCACACATTTTCTCGTCGTCAAAAAGGTTGGCGTTTAATTATACCAGAGTATAAAAAACTAGCTTTCAATATTTGTTGGCTAAGTACAATACTTATATACTTGTATACTTTTTCAGACTATTTGTTATACACCATAAAGGACCTAAAACTTAACAAAATTAATTCGTTTGTATATTCTTTCTGCTGTCGAAACTAAATTTAAAGTAACTGCTGTTAAGAGATTTTGCTCACAAATCTGCTGCTCTCCGCGAAGATGCATAAATGAATATTTCATAGGCTCTCTCACCACTGTGTCAGTAGCGGTTCAGTGACCTATGCTGGTTGAAGATAATAAATGTATGTTTAATCATTTAAGCGATGACAGCTTTTGCCACAGCCACTCACAGTTTTTCTCTGCAGGTTGCATAAATGTGTGTGTAAGAGAAAAATATAAAAAAATTCCTTTGACTCTGTTAAGTTCAAATATTAATGTATTGAACTAGCTTGAACAATCGCAAAAGCCAACTGTAGTCTTCCTTTGCTGGTTAGCATCTACCGGTGTACTAGTATAAAATGAGCGAATGAGAGCAGGTGCATTGTCGTGTAACTAAATTACTTTGCCGTGTCTTCTGTCCTATTCTGATTGTTTTTCGATCAATGCATATTTCAAATTGATCGTGTTGTGTGTAGCGTTTAGCATTAACAGTTACACCCGGTTTTAGAAACTCTTGGTAAAGCACACTTCTGATCTCACCAAACACAGCGCATTGCCTTCCTACCGAATCGATCTCTTTTTGCAGTAGATGTTGCTGTCGTTTTTCCGGATTAACCCATGATTTGCGCCGTTTAGGAGAAATAAAATTAATTAATTTTTCCTTGCCAGTGACAATTCGTTGCAAAATTGATTTTCTTTGGTGTTTTTGAAGCAAAATTTCACAAGCGTTTTTTCGGGTTTTCCAGTTGGCTTTCATTCAATTCATGTTCCACCCATTTTCTACATTTTTGTATCTTTTCAATAGCTTTCAAATGGTCTGAAATTGTTTGTTGTGCAACATTTAACATGCCTGAAATTTGCTTTTGACTCAAACTATCATCTTTATTCAATATTGCTTGCCGTTGTCACAAAATTTGACATTTTCAACACTTTGAAAAAATATGATGTTGTTTGTACACTGACTGTATGTAAGGTTATTGAATATGTTTGACAGATGTCATGCCAACCAAGCAGTAAAAAAATTAAGGTTCGTTCACATTAAATATTTCCTACCAACACATTTGTATCTTAACGCTTACTTTATACTTGTCACCTGCTATAAATTAGGTGTTGATCGCTCCCTTGTTTTGAGAATTGGATGTTACGAGCGAAATATTGCTAAATCACACACCTCAGCTAACCCAACCATTCTTATATATTTTTTAGTTTCGAAGCTGTAGCTCACGCTGTACATTTTTTAATATTTTTTTCGTGTGAATTTCAATAAAAACGTAACACTGAATGACAGCTAAAAGCATTGTTTTTTGTTTTTTATTTTCGGCGCAATGTAATTTGCATACAATGCTTTTCAATAACAATTAGACCTCAGATGAAGTCAGAAAGCGTTTAATTCATTCAAATAAATATCAAACTAATTTTAGTACGCCTTTCGTACTGCGTCTCTTGGTGCAGATCAAGCGCTGAGAGCGGGAGTCGAACTGAGATCACTTAGTCGAGCCGAGCTCTATTAATACCTCACCTTAGCGCGATTATCGCTTACTTTCGGTGACTTCGTGTAATATCTTACATATATATGCTTAATTGTGCGATTCTTACACTTTGTTTATCTCCTGTTTTGATTGCTTGGCATGAATTCAAAACAACAAAGGTTTATTTTCGGGCAAAAGTCCGCAACAAAAATATCAAAAAGTACGTGAAATGGCAAAAATAATTACATGTAATGTAATTAAGCGATAAGAACGTTAAGGAAAAACAGAAATCGGCGTTTTTTTGTTTTTTTCAAATTCCACTTTGTGGTTTACTTTTTATTATTATACACAACATTATTCTGAGTGCTCATTTTTGATTGTTTTAGCACATTTTTTGTTTCGGACAAAATATTTAACGGCGCGTACGGAAGCAGTTTGTGCTACAGAAATACATATGTACATTTGTTTGTTAATGTATATGTATATATGACAAGCGATGAGTACTTAACTTAACAATAACGCGTACCTTTTCATATACGCGCAACCTGTTACACCGAGCACTATTGATTCGGTTATGGACAATATCTTAAACACATTTTAACACATAGAAAATACATATAATAAATAATTAAACCTGAAACTTAAATGGTAGAAGTGCGCATGAAAGGAAATCCAGTTTGTGTGTGCGTGTTTTTGTGATTGGCTTTCACTTTAGCCGAAGAAGCTGCCGCGGGTATCCACTGCGCCGGCGAAATTCGCAAATGAACCGTTTCTTTGCGCTTCGATCGCTGCGGCGTTGATGAACCAGAAAGGTCTTTGGTCCTCGGGCAAGCGATTAAGTATAGCCACCAGCTCTCTATCGTCTTTCGCGTCGATTGGCAAGCGATTGGGCACAGCACCGCCGACAGCAGGCGAGCTAGACGAGGCGGGTCTGGCGGCCGCGCTATTATTGATGTTTACATTTTGTTGCACTTTGTCATCGCCACTGCCAAAACGGTTCGCAATCCCATCGGGCACAGGTCGGACAGTCGGCGTGGCCAATGGCAGGTAGTTGGACTCGGGAAAGACCACTGGTATGAAATTTGCTGGTGGCTTTTGTGTAGCGCCAAAAGGCAGTGCTGGCACGTCTGGTTTACCGAAACGATTGCCAATATCCACGTTGCTGTTGTTGTTGATGTTGTTATTCATGTTGTATTTGTCCTTTTGATTGAGCCCCGGTAGTCGTATGCCAGCGAAGGAGGGGCGCTGTGCCGCAGTCATTTGCAGCAGCAACAAGGTGGCCACGGTGAAAGTGTTGCGTTGTTTGCTGCTGTTTTTATGCATTCTATTTGTTTATTTTGTGTTTATTTTCTAACCGTAATTCAATTCACATGCAATATAATATTTGCTAATTCACGAAACAATTTGTATGTAAGCAATTATAATGCGTCTTATTTCACTTTGCAAATGCTACTTTCATCTGCGTATCCGCTGATTTGGTCTGATCTCTGCTGTATAATGACTGTGTTGCTTCGATCTGGCGCTCGCTGGTTTTATACTCGCTTATTGTTGTCCACAGCTTTGGCAAGCTTGTCACAATTTATTTTCACAGCTCAGCTGGTGTTGCTCTCCAGCGCGATTGAGTCACGCAAGTTGGTCGTCACGACGCTCTCGTGATCATTTTTTCTGTCTGACATGGATCCCCCGCGTATCAGTGTCACGAATGTCAAAGTACTTCTTATCGCATGCAGACGCTGTTCACTTGCCTCTAAACCCCGCCGTTTGCACCTACAACCTACCCAGCTAACGCCGCCGTTTACGCCAATTTTTCGCCCGCTGCTGCCTTTGGCTGCTCACTATAGTTTTCGTAATTACATACACATAACTATACATTTATTTTCCAGCTCAGCGCGCCAAACATGTTTGACAAGCGAATTGTGACTTCACTTGTTACGTTTTGACATTGATTTTAAACGAAAAAGCGATGCTTGTGCATGCCGCTGTGACTTTAGTGCAAGCTCAGTGAATAATTTACGAGAATAACTGGTTTGTCTGCAATTTCATTCATCTCAGCATTGTAGCTCTTAAATTATTTTTGGCACATATATTATGCTCATATGTTGCATTGGAGTGAGTGAACCAAATGTAAATTACCTGGTGAGAGAAGAGCCTACTAGACACAAACGTCCTCGACAGCAGCAGTGATAATAATAATGATAACGTTATTTGGCGAAAAGTCACTAGGATAATTCAATTTTACGACTAAAATCCTCAAAAAAATTTTTGTGGAAAGATTGACCTTATTTCATTAAATCAATTAAACTTTGAATCTGTTTTATGTGGAATTGTAGAAAGTTCTAACTTTCCGTGATTATTTGTGATAAGGTGGTGTTGAAGATGAAGAAAATAGTGATGCATCGAACAACTTTTCAGCCAACTTCACACTTAACCGCTCTACCGTTATATATTTGAACAGTTAGTTTGTGAAAAATGTTCCTCAATTTTTTGGAATAGTTTGTTGCGCTATCGTAGATGGAAGCTCGAAAGCAGCATTTTCGGCATATTTCAGTGTTTTACTATCAATTAGGTAAAAATGCAGTTCAAACAAGGCGAAAATTATGTGAGAAGATGTGTTGACTGAACGCCAATACCAAAATTGGTTTGCAAAATTTTATACCGACATATTAGATCTTCAGGATTCATCATGTCCTGGAAGGCATCTTGTAGCCGATGTAGATAAAATAAATAAATCGTTGGTCAATGAAAACTCGTCGAATAACAACTCGAAAGATCGCTGAAAGATTAAATTTGTCTAACGCGACCGTTCACAAGCACATGAAACGTCTAGGATTAATTGCGAAGCTTTAAATCTGGGTTCCTCATCTTCTTATAGAACGAAATTTGCTTCGTCGCACTAACGACTGTGATTTGCTTAACAAAAGTGAAAGAAGATAGATCACCATTTTTAAAGCGCATTATAACTGGCGACGAAAAGTGGATTGTTTACAAGAATGTAAAGCGCAAGAGACCATGATCTAAAAAGCATGAACCAGCTGAAACCACTTCGAAGGCCGATATTCACCAAAAAACTGGTTATGTTGTCTGTTTGGTGGGATTTCAAAGGGATCGTTTATGCACTCATACAGAAGAGACCAGAATTGGTCAATAGAAAAGGTGTAGTGTTCTATCAGATCTTAATGCTCATATTACATCTTCGCCTCTGGAAGTGCAACATGAGCTGTCAATGTGTTGAATGTAGTCTGTAGACTTTTTATTTCCTAAGAAACTTTGTACAATCCAAATAAATTCAATCCATGCAGATTTCTTCTTATCTGTCATTCAATCAGTAAAATGTTGGTATTTTATTAGTTCCTTGATTTGAGGACTGTCAAAAATACTAGCTGTAATGTTTTCTGTGCTCAATTTTGGAAATATTTTACTGATATATTTAAAATATGCCTCATCCTTGTTGGGAGCTTTTACAAACTGTTCTATCAGAACTAACTTTATATGAAGAGGGGGTAATATAATGCGGGCTCTGGCTACTAGAGGGACATTCATCACATTCATACTACTCGGTACTAAATTCACTCTCAAAGCTCAAACTTTTTTAGTCCAAGGTTTTATCTTGGCTCGGCCATCCTATAAGCACATGAAACAGGTGTATTTAGTATATCCTACTTGTTGACACAAAAGAAAATTTACTATTTTAAGATCGACGCATATCAGCCAGTTATGTTCTATGTATTTTATTCCCAAAGTAGTCCAAAGAGGCCATTTTATAGAATAGACGGCCTTTTATAGAATATAAACATTTTATAAAATTCTTGAAACCAAAAACTTTTAACTCTGTTTACCAATGTTAATAAAGAAGCCTGCAATCAGTTCATTTTCGAAATTCGAAGTCGAATATTTCGATTTTGGAGACTAACTTCGAAAAACGGAAAATTAACGTTTTTTCATAACTTAATCGAGTATTGTAACAACACGCGAGTTTTAATACTCTCGCAACATGTTGCTACAGAGTATAATAGTTTTGTTCACCTAACGGTTGTTTGTATCACCTAAAACTAATCGAGTGAGATATAGGGCTATATATATAAATGGTCGAGATGAGGAGACGACTTGAAATCCGGATGGCTATCTGTCCGTCTGTCTAGTGCCAAAATGTGCGTAATCGGATTACAACCACGCTCATTTCCCTTATAACACCATTTTAAATCCCATCTGATTCTTTCACTTTCCAATATGCAAATCAAGCAAAATAGATAAAGAAATCTCAAACGAGAGTATAAAATGCTCGGTTACATCCGAACTTAGCCCTTCCTTACTTGTTTAATTTTAATTTTTAAAATTAACCTGATGAAAGGTACCCAAGGAAACAGATTAATGCTTGTAAAATATTCTGATGTAATCTTAACCGAAATGAAACGCTTTAATTTGTTAAAATTTGTTTGTTATGTTAAAATCTGGCTACTAAATATTTCAGATGAATTAAATTTTTTTTGATAATTTAAAATATTTCCAACATTTTCACGTCCTTTTGAAGCGTCACGTGTCGGAATTCCCGGTGTCTTCGTAGCGCGTCATTAAATCTATGTACGAATTATCGGTGAGAATACCGCTTAGTCAACCCATCTCATCATAAACAAAGTACACTCCGAAGCAGACGTCATAAAAATTAACGACATCACTCCTGATGGAAGGCAAAAAATCGACTCACTCATAGTCAACGTAATTGATTGAGCAATTTGCTGCTCTCAACAGCTCACTCGATGCGCTCAAAAAGTGGGCGTGGATGCACGATTTGGCGGAATGTTGGCCAAATGGCTCTGAACTCTAGGCAATAAATGAATATTATGGTGCTAAGGCGCAATACATCATGCAAGCAACAACAATAACAACAACAGCTTGATGTATGATGCATTTGCACTTTATATGCACACGAAGACGCTGTGTCATTGCACACATACATATATATATACCTATGTGTATATGCATATAGATATGACACTCTTGCCTATACACACATTTTCGATGAACGCCGTTTGCCGGCATTAAAGCAATAAAAACAACAAGAGTGACAGCAGACAGCTGAACGCCAACATGCTGCCAGGTACTGCTGCAACAGAGCAAAAACAAAAGTGAGCAAGTGCTTGGGTATTACCCAAAACCGCGGCGTAAAAACCCAAGCAACAACAAAACACAACAGAGACAGTGAGTTTGTTGTAGGCAATGTTTATTATATATTTGTATTTGTATTGAACTATACCACAGCGCGAGCGGAATAAAGTGACGCATAAAGGTATGAAGATAAATGGGTGTTACAATAAGGTTTATAGAAAGTGTGCAAGCTGCATAAAAAGCGCAGATTTCTGAAAATTATGATGTTCTGCAGAGTTTCTATTATAAATTAGTAAGTGAGAGCTTTTTCAATGTCATATGTTTTTCTGCTTAATTTTATGGTTAATTATATGGTCAGATCTTATAACTTATATATTGACAATTTTATTAATCATTTTCGGTTAGCAGCAGCCTTACTGTTAGCTATTTGATACAAAATTTTGTGAAAATACTATAAATTTTATGCATTTCAAACTCTCAATTCAGCTTTTGAATTTCAGTTTCTTCGCGAAGTCTTCTCATTTGTGCTTATTCCAATTAAAACCACATGTATACATTATAAAAACAGAAAAGCCTTACAACAGCATTTTATCACTCGAAATTGAACACCCTTTGTGACAATAGCAATCATATTTACGTGCGAAGAGTGAGCATGCTTTGAAAGTGTCGACAGAATAATCACGTACGAATATGTATGTCTTATCTTTGCGGCAGAGCAATGTGTTTTCCACTATTATGCTCATTTCTATTTGTTTAATGATTTTTTTTTTTGTTTTTTTTTTTTGGGGTTTTTTCTTTTTTACTAATGAGTTGAACTGTTGCCCACAACTTCACAAAGTCTAAGAAAATTATTTTAGCAAATTAAAACTTAAAATTTGGTCAGGATGATGACAACCGCCGACACACTAACTCCAACATATAAAGTTATCAATATTAGCAAAAAAAAAGTTATTGTTTCTTTATATATTTTGAACTACATGCATCCCTTTTTATACTTTTGCAACAGGTTGCCACATAGTATAATAGTTTTGCTCACCTAACGGTTGTTTGTATCAATTAAAAGTAATCGAGATAGTTATATTTGTTATATACTCCATAAATAAATGATGATCAGGTATATATAAATGATCAGGAGTTGAGTATATATTTCCACGGTTCTGTTAAAAACTATTATCATCGCTTTTAAATCAATAAATAAATACGACAGAGACATTAAATTTTCCACCCTCAAAGTACAAAATGGTTTTATAGTAGGCGGGGTCAAAATTGGACGATGGGCGTAGCACCGCCTACATTTCGGTGAAAACCCATATCTCAGGACCTACTTGACCGATATCAACAAAATTTGATATGTTATATTACCTTGACATTCTTATGTTTTTGTGCGAAAACAACAGTTACAACAGTTACACATTTCTTCATGTGGCAGTAGCTAATTTCTGCTAGCAGCTCTGACAACTTTTTTTTTTCATCTGAGAATTTTAAGGGAAGCGAAAACTTGGTATGTATAACGGCTTACCTTAAAGTAAATTTGGTGCCGGATATGCCCACAATCGGTTAAGAAACCTCTGAAAATTAAATATTGACTTCCGACCTCGCATTTTGTGAAGTAAAGCACTTTGATATTTACACATCCAGCACGTTCTTAAGGTTTGTGAGAGTATTCTATGTTCGGATTCACCCAAAACTAACCCCTACCTACTCGCTTTAGTATTATTGATAAATTTTCGAAAAAAAAACAATATTTAATTATTATTTTTTCGGAAATATTACCTTTCTTCTTTATCAATTGCATAACTCAGTATGTCATAAAGTATATACAACAACCAATACATAGTACATACATATTATAGTTCCTACAAACCCTATAAAATATATATCAAAATGATCAGCATAACGAGCTGGGTCGAATTAGCCATGTCCGTCTGTCTGTATCTACGCGAAC